AATACTCATCAGGTTTGTATTTTGTAGAACGAGTAGGTACTCTACCTTCTTTTATTAGCTTAGTCTTTCTCTTTCGTCTTCTTCTTCATTTGCTACAAATTGCTGAGCTACTTGAACTACTACTTTATGAACTTTACGTGTTGTAAGTATCAGCAGTGCATACTCTTCCTTGTTATTCTCAGGATTTAAAACCATTTTTCATCTTTTCTGAAGAGGGAAATGCTACGACGATTTTACCGAGAATTCTGATATAACCAGGAACAGTAAAAGGTACACTCCATTAGTCTCGTCGTTTGGGAATGACTAACCTAAATAATCTGATAGCCGAAATAGAAGCCGACCATAAAAGGTAAGTATTCTTTATTATTGTTCCTTTAGGAATTTTAACATCGTCATTTCTTAAACGGCATTGGTTTACAAATAGTTTTCGTTAACTTTATAAGTACTTATACATATTGATATCAGTATCACTTTAAATCTATAGTATATTATGTGAAAAAAAAAGAAGAAATATTTGTTCATAACTGTCAGGAAACGACATTTTTAGTAGACACTATTAAAGGCAAGCTATACCTATTTTTACCAGGCTGCGCAATGCAAGAGCGCGAAGCGCGAAGCGCGACGCGCAGACAGGGTTATGTGTTTAACAGTCTATATATGTATGTTTGTTCCTTTGTGGCACACTAGAGACCAAACAATCAATCGATTCGCCTCAATCATGGGAGTGCTACTAAAGATATGATAGTAATCAAAATTCAATATGGACAAAATTAGGCGCCATATTGTGACGAAGTAAAAAAAATAAGTTGACAAAATATGTCGAGTGGGGTATCACTGTCTAGATAATCAAAAATCATATTTAGGTTCCTAACACCATTTTTCATTTTATATGATTGTTTACGATCTACAACGCTTTAAAGTTGTATATTAACCACTTACGCTTTTAATTTCAATCTTAGTTTGTATGGATTTTTGTTACTCTTTCACCTAAAAAATACTGAATGGATTTTAATGAAACTTACCAGTGATATAGCTCATATATGATAATTATTACATATATATAACAATTTATGTAGTTATTGAGTGAATTGGTCAATATATAACAATAAGTGTCACATAAGACGGAAAAAAATGTCCCATCTGCGAGCCATTTTGGCCTGCACTGCAAAAACAATAAAAGTTACATGAATATAATGTAGAGTGAAAATGTATCTCTTAAATAGTTCTAAAAAAGTCCGTGACACCATATATCTATTTTTAATGTGTAAGTCATTACCGCTAAAATAGTGAATCAAAACTAAAATATTATTTTTTGATATCTATTGCCAAAATGCACATTTTGTATTAACAAATCATTTTTTATCAAAACAAATACTTTTATCGCTTTTGATATTTAAAGACGATAAACTTTGCTTTTTACACTATGTCATTTCGACAAATATTTAAAAAGTTACAACGATGACAAAGTGATAGCGCGGTGTACTATGTAAAAGAAAAAAAAAGGGGTATTCGCAGTATCTGATCCTATACGAAGTACTAAGAATAAAACTGTGATACAGTTCCTTCTTATTAAATGATGAAAAATATATTATCATAATAGGTATTTATGATTATTGAATTTTAATGAAAAACTCAGTATTTTACTGTTTTTTATTTTTTTTAACGATATTACTTAATGTTACAAAAAAGGTTTACTTATTATAACGACAAATAACCCATTTTTCGCTAGTAAGTACATACTTATTGGAATCCCTGTATTTATAATCAGCTCACGATAATATTGGTTTTGTAAAAATTCTTCATAATTCAAACTAAATAATGTAGATTTTTATAGGTAAATCACCCCTTTCATCACCCTACGCCTATAAGTATTGCGATGTTGTAGCTAAGAACCAATTTCCCATCTACTTCTATATGGGAACTCATTATATTCGATTTAGCTATTAGGGCACGGAAGCGCAACAAACAAATTCACTTTCGCATCTATAATATTATATTATACTTACTAGTGATCCGACCGGGCATTGTACGGGCGAAATTTATTTATCGGGATAAAATATAGCCTATGTCACTCGGACAAAATGTATTTAAATAAAGAAAAATGTTATAATAAGTAACGTAGCTACCTTATGATGAATTAATATTTGAAACCGGTTCAGTAGTTTGACAGATTATTTGTTACAAACATACAAATCTTGCCTCTTTATAATATTAGTATAGATAGTTAGGATAAGATAAGTATTTCATTGATGAAAAAGATTTAAAAATAAAGTAAGTAATAGGTTTATTTGATTATATTTGTAAAAGTTACTTAGCATTTGTGCTTAACAGTGATTTACATTACCAATCAAAAAGGGTCGAACACAAAGTCTTTGACCTGTTAAATGTGAACGCTTTAAAAGAAAACTACAAAGAGAACTATAAATTGATAATAAATGAGATTGCTATGGTGCTCTATCTAACGTTATGAAAAATTTTATTATGCGCCTTTAGTTTAATCAAACATTATAAACTTTGCTTTGGTGATTGCATAATTATTTAATTTACTGATCTAAGGCAGTTACCACCATTGTCCAAAACAACAGACGGGAATTACTGCTTTCTTCAACCTGCGACATAAACGTCATTGATTGGTATTGTATATAGGGTGATTAAAAACATTTGAAATTAACTTCAGGCATCTACATATTGGGTTTCTGTGAATTATGCAGGTATATCAAATTATGAGACTAGGGACTGACACTGAATTTGTGTATATCACAATCTTAGACGTCCGGCATTGACATGACAATGCAGCCACTGCCAATTGTAAATAGTCGACGAATAAAAGTAAATGAATTTTATATTTACTGCTAAACTATTAAAAAAAACATAAACAAAAGATGACTTTTTGAGTAAGTGCTAGTTTACTATAAAATTTACATACATTAGAGATATTTATGTAACGACTTGATTTAATTTCACACATTTTTGCGAAAATTGAGGCCCATCTGTAGAATTGACCCCGCTGGTAAAGTCTTTCTATATGATAAATCAATCTTTTAGACCGACGAAAGGTACTTAATAATTCCCGCGATATTAATTCCCTTACTGAAGTAACAAGACTACAGTATATATCGTCTTAAAATACCAACTAACTAAAAAGTGTGAAATAAAAAAGGTAAATTTAAAAAATCAAAAAACCCGACTGCTTAATTATACTTCAAATAAAAACTGAAAAGAAAAAAACAAGTCCAGTAGTCTATAATTCTGTTAATAAGGAACAAAGCTACTTTAACAGTCGGGACCCACTGTTGAAAAATATTATGTATTCTCTAATATCTAATGGGTCCCGACTGTTAAAGTAGCTTTGTTACTTATTAACAGAATTATAGACTACTGGACTTGTTTTTTTCTTTTCAGTTTTTATTTGAAGTATAATTAAGCAGTCGGGTTATTTGATTTTTTAAATTTACCTTTTTTTTAATCTTGAGATTGAATAATTTTAACTGATTATTCAATAAAAATGAGAATCATTGACACTATATTCATTTAAGATATATATTTTCATCTGCATAGCTACGTATCTTGTTTAAAAAAAGAAGGTGCTTAATTGACGACTGTGGAAAAGAACAAACAACAAAAAGCCCGCTAGTTCTTCTCAGTAAGTGTATGTTCATAAATGTCCAAGGTTTCTTGCTCGTCATAGATTCGCGAAACGATAAGTCTTCTCGTCTTTCACGCAATTTGAATAAATCTTAATGTGTATTATAAAGTTAGGACCTCAGCTACGTAGCGAAACCTTCTTCTCACTGCTCACCTTTCGGTCAGACGATAAAGCAATCCGAATTAAAAGTTTTTATACAAATAAAATTTTACTAAAGAACATCTACATCTCAGATTGCGGAACCAAAGGCAGATCGAGCGCATGGTACAAGCAAATATCTGTTATCGTCATCTCGCGCGTCGCCGGCGCCGGAGGCGCCGCGACGTGCGGGGAATCCGTTCTGGCGTGTGCCACTTAGGAGGCCTCGGGTTCGCATCCCGTTTACGAACGGGACGGTCGTGTGGGTCAAGTTACCCCCTCTCCGCTTCTTCACACGTCGCCCTCGGCGCGGTCAAGCCCACCGGGTGAGACCCATGTGGGAGGCCCAGTGAGCGACCAGCGAGCGGGCGACGGACTTCAGCGGGCGGGGGTGGTGTCTTCGGCGGGGGTAGGCGGCAAAGTTTTCTTCTCGGCCTGCCCGAACTTTTTGACAAAGTCCGTGAGCAGGTCCGAGAGCTGGAAAAGGAGGCGTGTAGTCTCGGCTGGCGTGGGCGTAGGTGGCGTAGGCGGTGTGGGCGGCGGTGTGTCCGCAACCATGGTGGTGGCATCGGTCTGCGTGGGTGCTCGCCCGACGGGGTTTGCGGCGGTGGCGTTTAGGGCTGCTGGTGAGCGAGGGAGGAGCGTTCGCGGGGGCCATTAAGGTGGGCGGCGCGTGCTCGCTCACCTCGCTGGGCTGCTGAACTGGTTCGGTGGCGGCGGGTGGTCGGGGGCGGCCTATGCGGGCCACTGTTGAGGCGAGATGGTTGCGCGCCTCGCGTTGGAGCGCGGGGCACGCGCTGTGGTTCGCGGGTTGCGTGCGTGGGCGGAGGCAGTCGGCGGCGGCGTGCGGGTCACCGCAGTGCACGCAAGCAAGCGCGCGGTGACAGCAAAGGCTGGAGTGGCGAAACCCCTGGCAGCGGTGACACTGCGCGGGAGCGTTCTTCCTCCCTCTCCAGGCCTCGATGGTGATCCCGGACACACTCAGGAGGTCACTCACTGAGTAGATGGCCGGGATGAGGTCGGGGGTTCGGCGGAGTGCGGCGTAGTACAGCGAGCCGGGGCGGCCTGCTCGCGCCCGGGGGGCCAATCGCCTAACTGGATTGCTTTGGAAAACGCTATCGCTTACGATTTCATTTTGTTATTTCTAGCCGCCTGAGGTTTTCAAATGCCTCGCGCTCTTTTTTTTTCTTTTGCATTGGTAATAACAATGTTAAAGAAAATGAGCGTGAGGTATTTGAAAACCTTCGGCGGTTAGAAATAACAAAATGAAATCGTAAGCGATAGCGTTTTCCATAGCAATCTGGTTAGGCGATTGGCCCACTGATCTGCTTTGCGTAATCGGCAACGAAGCCCTTTTCAGCGATGGCCTTTGTGACATCAAGCGGCGTGGTGTCAAGGGGCAGTCCACGGATTGCCACCTTGAGGCTGCGGTCTTCTGGGCGGGCGTGCGAGTATCAGCTCAGTCCTGCCTGTCCCTCCAGTCCGGAGAGGTAGGCCAGGACGAGCCGGCCCTCGTCGTCGTCGGCCGGTGAGAAACGCACGCCCGTACCAAACGGGCGTACGTTGGGTGGTCGTCCGAGCTTCTCATGTAAGGCGCGCAGGTGCTTCGGCCAGTCCCGCAGCTGCTCAACCCCAATCGGCGGGTGTCTACTGACCCGGTGGGACGTTGGAGCGCTGCGGGAGGCCGGTTGCGCGGTCGGCTCGGCGATGGGTGGTGCGGCGGTCGGTGATTTTTCCTCGGCGGTTTCGGAGGTAGGTGTGAAAACTTTCGCGGCCTCGGCATACGACTGCGTCGGTACAGCAGTCTGTGCTTTCGGTTGTTCTTGTTCTTGCGCGGCGGGGGTGGTTTCTTCCCTTGGTTTGTCTTGCTTCGGTGCGGGGGTGGCTGCCTTGGTGGGCATCGGCGCCTGATTGGGTACGGGCGAACTTCCTTGGCTGCGTGTCCGGCGGTGGCGCGGGTCGCGCGGGTGAGACGCGCGGGAGGTGCGTGGTTTGATGAAATTTAGGGCCTCGATAAGTCTGGCGTCATCGGGGCCGTAATTGGTGGTAGTCGATTTCTCTTCTTCCAGGAGACGGAGGTAGACCCATAACCAGTCCGTCAGCCTCTGCGACAATAGGCCGGAGTCAATGAGACGGCACGACATCTCTGCATCCAATACATATTGGACGCGGGGAGATCCCGCACCGCTCATCCTTGCCGCGAAGAGGGCTTTGACTTGGGCCAGGCCGTTGTCCGTTGGAAGGTTGTAAAGATGCGGGGTTCGGTATTTGTCCATGATGCGTAAGATGGGGTCTGCGTCTGCGCGATCTTGACCGAGCGCAGCCTTGCGGCGCGCTCAGGCCTGCAGCTGGGTGGGGCGGTGATCCACGCTGGCGCGGTGGCGCCAGGCCGTGCTCGCGGCACAGTAAAGGCTCAGCTTTACTTCGGAGCACTTGGGGTACAGAGAGATCCGTGCGCAGCGACGTAGATACAGTCCTCAAGCAAATATCAACTGGCGTCAGCACACTATATCGTGTTGTGACATAAGAAACATTGCAAAAAACTTAACTTTTGACTTCGTATTTGATTTGGTGGCAGCACTTGCGTGTTCCGTGCGTTCCATCTGCCTTGTGTTCTGTAATCTAAGATCTAAATATCCTTTTTTTAAAAGAAATAGTTACTAAACTATTTTTAAGTTTCTTTAGAATATCGTTAGTAGGTAATATTTAAGTCTGATTCAAACACATCTTTACTATAACTTTCCCAGAGAAGAAGAAGAGAGAAACCAAGCCGCTGCAGTATCGTGGTGCCACCTAGTAAGTACCCGTTTGTTATAATTTAGCCCACATACTTTAAACAGTGTTCTTCTGAGGTGCCTTTAAAAACACCCTTAGTATAAATATAAAAGCAAGTATACAGTGGTGTCAATTCTGGCATGATGCTCTAAACCTAAATTTTAACAACATTTCTCTATATGTTTATAACTTCTCTATACAGAATGAAAAGTTTGTTGTTGAAGGATTGATGTTCAATTTAGTTTTAAGTTTAGATATTCATGCTAGAATCGAAACCATTTTCATTCTAAAAGGTAAAATAGTCTGACCACCGAATAGTTTGTAAAACTTGTCAATTACGTATCAGCTCAGATTCGCGAAGCCATGGGAGATCGTCATACTAATAGTTGGCGTTATAATGGCGTCACTGAACGGCTTGTTTGTGCCGATCGGCGTCATCGTGTACGGCGAGTTCACGTCACTGCTGATCGACAGGACGGTCATGAATGGAACATCCACGCCGACCCTTACCATTTCCATGTTCGGTGGAGGCCGACAGCTGTGAGTAAAGATTTTGGCATATTCTTTTTTTATTTATTCTTTATGCACAAATGTACAATGGCGGACTTAATGCCGTAGGCATTCTCTACTAGTTAACCATAGGATGTTATGGAGATTATTAGTGGTAGGGTGCATAAGTGAGGTGGAAATCACATTGAAAGAAAAATAAATAGTAATAAATAATAATACATATACATCTATTATTTCATTCTGATGTTGCAAAGTTGGTGGAATTGTGAAGCGACAATAACAAGCCGTAGAATAAAAGAAGAAGAGAATGATGTTGCTAAAAGTATTGTTAAAAAAATGGAGTGGTTTTACTAAAGCACGACGTAAGTGAAACTTTTAGAACTATTAAGAAAAAGATACTCCCTCGTCTGGGAATCGAAACCGGGGTGCCCGCGTAGTAGGCGAGCTTTCTATCACTGAACTACTGATACTCATTGATAAGGTTTGAATTTTTGATATCAATTAACAATGTAAAGCGACATGCTTAATTTGAACGAAAATAATTGTGGCGATGCAATAAAAGTCACTCCAAAAAACAACAATGCTAGCTGGGTAAAGAAAAGACAACATCATTAAGCTCATCTCTGTCTATTTAAACATCAAAGAACTGAGGTATCTTTTATCCATCAATCTTGCCGCAAATGCTTTTCAGAAATATTTCCATGCTTGACGCAGGATAAACGTTGGCCATTGTTTCTTGCTGCATCTGCAGTCATTAGCACTGGGCAGGCATTATGTGTCACCTCCTGACCCTTAGTCCTGATCTCCTTAAGTCATTACAAATCTAAAGAAAATTCTACTAGGAAAAAAAATTATTGTCTGTAAAGTCGTTTACGTACGATAATTTTAGGTGATACCGTATCGTTAAGGACAGACACTTTAGTGATAGGCGGCAGTATAAACCAACACGGAGCTCTGTTAATGCGAGCAACTCACACCAGCGAGTGGAGTACTCTGATTCAAATAGTGCGCCTTGTAGAAGACGCGAAGTGCAGCGAGGCACCTGTGTAGCGCCTGGTCGAAACTATAGCCGGGTGAGAATATATATACGAGTATATAGCATAAGGATAACAGTTAAGGTGTCATGCCATCCTGGTACTTAGCGCGCTTCGGCCGATCGTGCCTCTCTATCGCTTGTGCTTGTGCCGCGCTCTCGCTTGCACGCTCAGGCTCAGGCGGAACGTGACACTTTCATACGTGCAGCAGGTTGTCATCGATTTATAAGACGTTATCACATCAATCTTTCGCCATCCGCCCGAAAACTTCTTTAGATTTAATCATCGATTTGAAAAATCATTCCAAATACTTTATCAACTTTGGTGACATGATGATTATTACCGACGCAGTCGTATGCTGATGATTATACTCATTTTACTGGTTGTAGCACAAACGCGTCCGCGGCAGAGAACAGAGCGGCGTTGATTGAGGACTCGCAGGCGTTCGGCATCGGCTGCTTCGTTTTCTCCGTGCTGCAGTTCATCGTAGGAGCTATCAGCGTCGACCTATTCAACTATATCGCACTCAGACAGGTACTTTATAGTCCTCCCTGCCGGGGGTAACGTAAAGAATCTCCAGATCCCATGAAACCCGCTACAGCAGGCGAAGAAGCACTATTGTTTTTGGTGGATAGCGGCTCCTCCCTCATCCCGGGCAGCCGCTGAGCCAGTCCCAAGTGCCGGCAGAGCGGATAGGCGGGATTTGTGGATAGGAGGAGCCCCACATAACCTCGTCTCTCACCCAGAGGTGAGGTATGCATTTTCCCAACAATACAGAAAGGTCCGTAAGTCCTCTTCAACATCAACCTATTAATGTTCCCACTGTAGAGGTCTTTTCTATGGATGTAATAGGAAGATCAGTGTGGATTTGGTGTGTCCAGATACAGCTGGGTCTAACGGCTTAACGAGTCTTCCGAAGCACGGAGCTACAGTTAGTATTTTTTGACTTTCTGTGACTAGAATTCCAACTCGAACAAAGAAAGGTGGCTCATTTCTTTGTTGCATCCGCAATGGAATGCTTTGACCCCTTGCGTATTCCCTCTCTACTACAAGCGTCTAAAGAGGCAATTCGCAGAGTGGTAAGGTGAGGACGGATGGCGCGATAGGTAAAACTGCTACACTAGCTGTCTTCGTTTCTCGGCTGCACAGTCACTAATATCTAAAGTATGACATATAATAAAATGACATGTAGCGGTAGTAGTGCTTAAAAATTAATATATAAATTAAGAATATATATATATATACAAACACAAAATCTGCCAGCTGTATTGAATTTGTCCGTCTGTCAGCCTGTGTACTATTAACCATAGTGTTTTTTCCAGATTGACAGGGTAAAAGAGAGGTTCCTGCAATCTGTCCTGCGTCAAGACATTTCATGGTACGACCTCAATACAACTGTGAATTTCGCCACAAAAGTTTCAGAGTAAGTCTTATGATTTTGGTGCAAATAGTTTCTTGTTGTAAAGGAAATTTGAGCACTTTAGTAATTTACCATAACGCTACGACCACACTCGCGGTATCGCGAACATTTTCTGTTTTCACGACAAGTCGTGCCAAGCAATAGTCACACGTTTAAGAACACGGTCAGAAATGTCACTTTTGCTTAGTTAGATGTGGCGTAAAAACGGCAAATGTTCGCAATAGTGCAATAGTGTAGCCGTCGCATTAGCATAAGTATAAAAAACTCCGTGGTCACTTGTGTGTGCAAGCCACCTCGGTTGCGATTGCGATGGGATTTGCGATTTTCAGTTTACCGTCAACTCAGCTATAAGCGATCAATCGAGCAGAAACTTGATGTGTTAAAGTTCCATGATCATCAGCCTATAATGTCCCCACTGCTGGAAGTACAAGCAGACTTTCCCTATGAACGAAAAAATAAGTAAGATTACGTCTGGGGATTTGCAGATCCATAAAGTGAAGTGTTAATGACTGCTGAAGTGTATGTTAATGAGCTCAATAGCACAGGTGGTAAGCGCATTCGGCCTGAGATCTTGGTAGTTGAACAACTTTCACAATGGTCGGTTATACGATGGGTGAACAAAAACTTATTATCTCGAACTCCTTCGTGCTTCGGAAGGCACGTTAAGCCTGGCTTGGTCCCAACCACTGCAGATGCACAGTCGTTAGCGCCCACTGAAACGTACTGGACCCGCGTGGTGGGTCACTGCCCAGTCACCCTATTCCATCCATAGGGAAGGCCTGTACCTTTACAGTGGGGACAATAATAGGCTGATGATGATGAATTACTGCAGATGGAGTAGAGACCAACGGAAAGACGGAGGAGCTCGAGATAATACATTTAGTCACCCATCCTATGACCAGGGCCTCGTAGGGAGAACGTAGCTGTCTACGTTAGAGATATCTACGCCCCTGTGGGCGTATTTTGAAACATTACGGGTTGCACCCCCTCCTCCCTAGAATTAGTAAATCATATCAAAATAATAGTTCAGTAATTAATGCTTTTGTTTGGCTTCCGCCACTCCTCACGGCTCTCATCATTCGTCATAGCTTCTTTTGGTCCTAAGGTAACGCCCCTGATCGTAGACTAACCAGCACTTGGCCATCGAACTTCTTAACAAATTATGATTCACAGTGACGTGGAGAAGTACCGGGAAGGAATCGGTGAGAAGGTGCCGATGCTGATCTACCTGGTGACGTCGTTCGTGTTCGCAGTGGTGATCTCCTTCTGCTACGGCTGGCAGCTGACGCTGGTCATCCTGTCGTGCGCGCCTGTCATTATCGCAACCACGGCGATTGTAGCCAAGGTACCGTTCTATACTAATCTTTAAGTTCAGAGCATGTATGGTATGGTATGGTATTGAATTTAAATTATTGCTTAACATGTTATTTTTTAAGGTTCAATCGTCGCTGACCACTAAAGAGTTGAAGGCTTACAGCGTGGCCGGCGTTGTCGCCGAGGAAGTTTTGGCGGCTATCAGAACAGTGGTGGCCTTTGGTGGAGAGAAAAAAGAGATAACCAGGTAGAATTATGAAAAAATGTTACCAATAGGTAAATTAAACAAATTAAACAAACATATCAGTCAAAACATTTTCTTCATTTTCATCTTTCTCCTTCACTTTTTTCCCTTTTCATTAATACTCTTACAGAACTTCTTACTTCCTCTTACCATCTGTATGCTGATGATTTACAACTATATGCAAGCACTGATAGCATTCATTTGAATGAGGCTGTCGCAGATTTAAATCATAATCTGAGTGTGATCAGAGACTGGTCGGCTAATTTTGGTATCTCAGTCAATCCAAACAAGTGTCAAGCGATCGTTGTTGGAAGTTCACGTCTACTGTCGCAAATTGACTTTACTCAAGTTAATTCAATATTCTTTGACGGTGTTACTATTCCTTTCTCGGCTCAAGTAAAGGACTTGGGTTTGATGGTCGACGAAAAACTTTCCTGGATAGACCATGTCGATTTCATCTCGCATAGGGTGACCAATTCTCTAAGATCTCTTTACAGGTTTAAGTTCTTTCTGCCCACTCGTACCAAGATTGTCCTTGTTCAATCTCTCATTCTGCCTATTATCGATTACGCCGACGTATGTTATCCTGATATAAATGAAAATCTTTTGAATAAGTTGGATCGACTTCTCAATAACTGCATCCGCTTCATATATGGCTTACGTAAATACGACCATATTTCACATTTTCGTCATCAGCTCAAGTGGCTTCCTATTCGTGAGCGTAGGAACCTCAGAGTTGTTTGTGCGCTTTTTAATCTTCTGTTCGATCCACATACACCAGTTTACCTAAAAAGCAGATTTAGGTTTCTGAGTGATTCTCATGACCGTGTTCTCCGTTCAACGGACAATCTCCTTCTGCATACTCCCGTCCATTCTTCTGGCTTCGTCTCCCATTCTTTCACTGTCACGGCTGTACGACTCTGGAATGACTTACCCCCCAATATACGTAAAGCTCCTAACAAAATTGCATTTAAGGGATTGGTTCGTGAGCACTATCTCAATAGCATTAAACAGCGTTCTCATATTTGACTGACAAAACCATGTATTTATGTATGTATTGTATAATATGTGTGTGTGTATGTATGTGTGTATATGTATATATATATATATATATGTGTGTATAATATGTATGTATTCTGTTAAGAGTATTTGTATCATTGGTTTATCTTAAATTTGTCTTTATTGCGCCCCGTCATATTAGATTTTTTCTCACGCTCTTACTGGTCGACTGGTAGAGAATGCCTTATGGCATTATGTCCGCCATTGGCTTTGTAATTTTGCAATAAAGTTTAAATAAATAAAACATAACAACTTTAATAGCCGTTGCAATAGAGTAGCACTTAAAATCTTACAACAAATGGTAATCCATTTTTATATAAAATAGCAACTTAAATTGTTCTTTGCCTTCAAGATTTTTGAGGGACACGCATTAACAACTCATGGGAAATACTTTCGTGATTTTAATACATTATGTGAAAATGAACCATACAAGTTTCTTAAATAGTTATCCTTAATTATTCAGCAGTTTCTTAATCTCAAGTGAAAGAATTCTCAGGTTCACTTGCGCCAACTGTCCTTATTCATAATCCTGTTGAGCACATAACTTCTTCCTTGTTAAACTTTTTGAATCCAAAAGAAATTGATGATGAGGCCTGACTATGATTTTGTTTTTGATTTAAATAAAGAACTTTAATGCAAAGTGGGTCTCCAATTATGTTTGATAGAAACAGTTAGATGAAACGCACTTTTTCGACTTGCGTTCAGGTACAGCACCCGATTAGAACCAGCCCGGAAGATGGGCGTGATGAGAGGCGTTTACTCCGGCATTGGGAGTGGGGTGATGTGGCTCATCATTTACGCCACGTACGCGCTATCCTTCTGGTACGGCGTGGGGCTGATCCTGGACAGCAGACATGAAGAAAAACCAGTCTATACTCCAGCCGTGCTCATGATTGTAAGCTTTAATTGTATTTTATCATAAGAATATTAAATAAATCATCAATCAATTTACAAACGCTAACATCATGGACCCGATTTATATACCTACTTAATATGTTTTACAAAGAAGATGGCGTGTTGAGTACTTACGATATGAGCAAAATATTTATAAATTTTTGTGTATCAGGTTTATTCACCTTAGATACTCTGCCGATTCCACTCACACAAAAGAAAGAATATCAGTATCGCTTACATGTACGTTTCTAGAATTTTCAAGAGTCATAGACACAAACAGGTTTGATTTCATCAGATATTCTTCAGCATCCTCCAAGGCGCGCAGAATGTTGGCTTGACGGCGCCTCACATGGAGGCCATCAACGCCGCGCGAGCCTCGGGCGGCTCCATCTTTGCCGTGCTGGACCGGCAGCCTGATATCGACAGCCTGTCCACCGCCGGTACCAGGCCGGAGATCAACGGAGACTTGGCGCTGAAAAACGTGCACTTCACGTACCCCGCAAGAGAAGATGTCAAGGTAAATCGTTGGACAACAAAGTAAATTTTCTCTTTAGTTCTCCGTCATATTCAAGTGTGGGACAGTATTTGTAGCCATGAAAGTTTCTTTCCTCGCGAAATAATGAGAACGATTCCCTATTTAAAGAAAATGAGTATTCATGGAAATAGGTATAAAGCAAGAATAATTTTAACAAGAACATATGGATAGACTGTGACTGTAGTCGAATAAGTGATGACCTGTGCCCCAGCAATGCAGTACAGCATTAGGCTAATGAAAGCTCATCCTTCACCAGGTTTTGAACGGGCTTACGTTGAAGATAAACCAGAACGAGACGGTAGCGTTGGTCGGGCCTAGCGGCTGCGGCAAATCAACGGTGCTGCAGCTGCTACAGCGGATGTACGACCCCGACCAGGTAATGCTATGTTACAGTATTGTGACTCGGCTTTCTTCTTGATATACATACCTATTATGACTATGACCTACGACCTACAGCCACATTAGTAAGGGAGACAGGGACAAACCTATGAAGATATGTCCCTGTACGATATGGCGATTTAGTTTTTTTTTAATGTTATAAGGGTGGGAATCTAGCTTATGGCCCGCCTGATGATAAGCGGCCACCAAAGCCTATAGCGACAAGCGTCTATAGGCTATGGTAGCAGTCTATCCTGACTGCTTAAAGCTGTCTCCGTATGGCCAGTCTTAGATAACATGACAGTGACCCTTTACAGGGTAGCGTGACGGCATCCGGTAACGACCTGCGCAATATCAACGTGCGACATCTGCGGGACCACATCGCGGTGGTGGGACAGGAGCCCGTGCTCTTTGCTGGCAGCATTAAGGAGAACATTCGGTGAGTAAATAACGTAAACATACCTGACGCCGTTTAGGAGTAGGTAGCCATCTGCGATCACCAAGGAACCAATTCTATAAAGTTTTATTTTTATCCTATTCATAACATCACTCTCACATCTATGTCAAAACATTTGATGGCATAGAATATCTACTCGACATTGCGCAGAATAACAAGTACCTATATCAACAGTATTAATAAGAAACTTGTTTAGTAGCTCAAAGTATAGATAAAGTAGTGGAAGAGTTTATTGATTTCGTTGAGAAAGTACTCAAAGCGATATGTATTTGTAAATCATTTACCTAATAAATAGACCTCTACAAGAAGGTATCTATTAGTTAATATTTTTTTCTCTTTTTGTATGTAGACTGAGTAATCCATCGTGCACCGATGAAGAAATCATCGTTGCATCCAAACAGGCGTATTGCCACGATTTTATTAAAAAGCTACCTGAGGTGAGCCCTACAAGAAACCATCACAAAATATTCTTATCAACTATTTAAAAGTGAAAAAAATTGTGTCTGAAATTGAAGCAAAACCAAAAATATCGCTCACTTTTATGCCATTTTCGGTTAAATCTCAAGGCGTTATGCTGATACTTCAGTCACAGAGCTATTCATATTTGGTATTTGTAAATTCGACAGCAGTCTCGTAATCATCTTTATATCAATCCGAACAGTCGGTTAAAAAACGTCCAAACCTATCCATCTAAAGTCGTGCGGATGACAACCCTTGATTGCTGGCCTGAGGCGAAGCCGTCCCTGCGATTCTGGAAACCGCCTTCCACTGGAAACGAAACTTGAGCAAGAAACAGGTGGTTGAAACCGAGTAAAATTGAATAAGGCCTCCAAGTTTTTCCCAAAAATCAACGAATGAAAAAAATAACTCTTAATTTAAAAAAATAAATATATGTTGCAACTTCCTCCAATAGTTCCGCTCCACTTCCAGTGCTAGGTTGACATTATAAAGATATTCGACAGCAGCAGTATCCCATATTCTGTTTACGTATCATAAGGGCTACAACACTCTGATTGGTGAGCGGGGTGCGCAGCTGTCCGGTGGACAGAAGCAGCGCATCGCAATCGCCAGAGCTTTAGTCCGTAAGCCGAAGATATTGCTGCTGGATGAGGCCACGTCAGCGCTGGACTCACACAGTGAAGCGAAGGTGCAGCGAGCGCTCGACGCTGCCGCCCATGGGAGGACCACCATCATGGTGAGCCACAGGTATATGTTGTTGTCTGTATGCGTGTGGACGAGGTAAGCACATAGACGTAGAGTATAGACTGAGCAGATGTGGACAAGGTAAGCACATAGAGAATCGCCAGAGACTTGGTCCTTAAGCCCAAGATACCTGCTGCTGGACGAGGCCACGTTAGCGCTGGACTCGCACAGCGAAGCGAAGTCTGTATACGTGTGGACGAGGTAAGTCAGTCAAAGTTTTTTGGGGAACTTCTGGCATCACCTGAAGGGCCCTTGGTGCAGTACCAACAGCCTGTCTTATCTACATGTAGTATTAATCCACTTGTAAATGATTTAAATTTTGACAATTCATTGCATTGGAAGGAACAAGTTAAGCTTAGTTAGAACAAATAAAAAATAAATGTCAAAGTCAGAAAGTATATTTTAAAAACTAAGAAATTAATAAATAAAGAGAAAACATTTTACAAAAATATTAAAGGACATCGACGAATTCGGCCCTATCATGCCCAAAAGAATGTCCTTCACTATTATTTTTTTAACTTATTAGCAATTAATCATAGTAAACGGACAATCTGTTTAAAAAATAAAAGTTCTGTTACTAGATACTACAGTCTGTTCATCTAACTTGGCACTCCTTTTTATTGAAAATACAGCATTAAAAATCAACTGATACCTGGATTCAATAGGTTTCAGTCTATAATAACGATTTATTTTAATAGTTTATTTTCTTCGTTAATATTTTATTATTAAATGGGTGATTCTGTTAAAAAGTTGTGCCAAGATTGTTTACCTTAGTTATGCAATATAGGCGACCATAGGTATTTATCAACATAAAAATAGAACTAGGTACCTTAGTTAATAATACTTATTACTAGTATTTATATTATATTTATAAAAAAGATTATTTCTGAAATTATCTAAAGATAGTTTATACTCCCATCCCATGTAATATCTGTTTATTTTTATGAAATCATAATGATATCCAGGTACATACCTAATTACCGTTAGTAAAATATAGAAACAGTTAAATGGAAAGACTGAACATTTCATTTGAAAAGAAATCTATCATTACTTACTACAGGCACGAACCTAAAGGTAAAATCAATATGAATATAAGCATTTATTATTTTTATTATAAATTGCATTTTAAGTTCATTTAATGCATATTATTTATGTGCTTACATAGGGGTAAACACTAAATCTATTCAGAACATATAAAGTGTACATCTTTTATGATTAAGTATAATAATTATAACCTCAAAATCTAATACATTCTGTAGTAGGCCACGATTCCTCAAGTTGTCCGTATCTCAACAAATGCTTATTTAGAGTTTATGAATGATTCCGAACACAACTAGCATTTTCTCATTGCTGGGCGTTCTAGGGCATTCAATGTATGGGGAACGAGCAATGTCCTTTCTTTAACTGAAGTAGACAACTCTTTATTTCCAGAGGTCTCTTATTTCCCGGACAATAAAGTTATGGAATAGTTATTTGTTCAACTAGAGAGGAAAGTTGGTTTTCCAAGCGAGTGCTAATTTTGAATCCCGAGTAAGCGAAGGACTAATAATTGAATCACGAGCGTTAGCGAGTGATGAGTGATTCTACATTAGAATCCTGAGCGTCGCGCGCGAGGGATTCTAAGGTACGAGATGGAAATAACTTTTCTCTCGCGTGACACATACAACTTTTCACCTTAGCAGCGAGAACATTATTAGATATAAAAAGATACAATATGAATAAAAATGAAACCACATATCGCTCCTTCAATGCAAAAGGGCCACAATCCAAAAAATCTCAAAACTCGTTTTATTGTAAAAATGTGATCTAAATGCATGATATTTTAGAGTGTCATTAAAACACTCGCCATTTTAGCTTTAATAACTACCAAATCACAAAAGCGTCCGTTTTGCATTCAAGCGTTTTGATGACTAACTTCAGTGCAAAGCGGCCATTTTTTTAGTTCCGACCCGATTCCCAGCGTGAACGTACGTCGGTTTAGTGCAAAAGGGCCACAATCCAAAAAAATACCTTAAACAATTAGTCTTTAGATCAAAGGTGCCTTTTTTTGAAAAGTGACTGTTTTGCATTAAAATTTTATGAAGTTATAATTAATGTTATTAGATCAAAAGTACCATTTTTTTAAAAGTGGCTGTTTTGCATTAAAATTTAAGTAAGTTATTAAAGATTATAATAATAAAAACTGCAGTATTTCAAAAAGCGTCCTTTTTTGTATTGAATAATGCATTATAATTTTATAATAATTTTATTGCTAGGGTATTTTTTAGAAATGATTGTTTTAAAATAAAAAAAAAAGAGATTGTAACGTTATTTTTAAATATTTTGTGTTTGAGTGCCTCGAGTTATTGTAAATCTGTCGTTAATATTCGTACTTTTAAGCTAGGTACCTTTTTATTAAGAAATCAAAGGCCTGTGCAAACTTTACTATAGTGTTTAAGTTTAGGCACATTTTATAGATAGATTGATAATTGTGAGCCATAGAGCAAAACGGGCGCGTCGGATCGTGTCAATATTGTTCTATGTGGTGGGTTAGTAAGAACGAGATTAAAAATTATAACACAAACGCGATAGTACCTAATGTTTGCATATTTTCAAACTTACATCGGAGGTATATAATGATGTAGTCTGATGTTTATTTATTTAAGTCATTCTCATTTATGGTTTCTAATTATTTTACGAATATGGAATAAACCAGTGCATATACGATTATTATAATATCATCTTATGTATCTATGATAGGCTTTTTATATATATTTATGATTGGGATTTCCCTATTCCATCCATAGGGAAGGTTTGTGCCCCAGCAGTTGGGACATTAATAGGCTCATGATGATGATGGTTGGGATTTACAATAAAAATAAAATAAAAAATAAAGGCATTGTTGATTATGTGTATGCATTGCATATGTTTTGCTTATATTTTGCTAATCCAAACCAAGAATCAAATTTTAATAATCCAGTCTACCGTCCGCAATAGCCTAGAGGAACAGCAGATTATATCAGCAGATGCTCAACAACACATATTATCTTATTACAGTTTTGATACAAATTTCTTACCAGACAGTCAATATAACATAAATTTCTCATTACTTGATGATGAAGATGACGATATGCAATCTGTAATAGAACAGCCAAATAATGATATCCCTTTAAAAGTCGTTGAACAGAGCGACTTATTTAGCGCACACCAGATGATTTTTCTTCCGATGAAAGCCCGACTTTTCAGCCTTACCATCAACGCAATACTGGAAGTTTTTCTATAGATCTAGAACACAGGATTTCGCAAAAAAAAAACGACATTTTGCTCCAGCCTGTGTGTTCTAGTATTAAGTCGCAATAGTTTACTTAAAGTACCTCAAAAAAGAGAGAAGGTTTACTAAAACTTAAAGAGAGGAATATAATTCCAAAATAATATAGAGGAATATAATTCTTCACTTCAGGGTGTTTTGCACGAGTTATTTACTTATTTTTTTTAATGATTATTACTTGCTTTAATATTTAACTTAAATAAATCTCATTCAATAAAGAAAAAATATTTTTTAGAAACCTTTAATTTTGATATGGTTGTATAGTATAGACATTTTTTTATTAAAAGACTGTTATTTTAGCTTCAGTAATAAGAGTTTAAAAAACTTTCTTTCAAAAGAATATAAAATTTGTGTTTTTTTAAGACAGATAACATTTTGAGCATAACCTGATCGATATAATGTGTTATTCTGATTATAATTGAGAAAGTTATTATTTTTACTTTTATGAAAAATAACAAGAAAGTATTATTTGATAAAAAAGCGTATTAATTTTTGCATTTTTTTTTTAGGATTTCTAGTCAGATTTTTAATGCAAAAGGGCCTCTTGTCCAAATTTCTCACTATACATCATAGTTAATATAAATTGTTTAATACTCATAAATGCAGTATAAAAATACGATTCTAATGATGTATAACATTTATATACTATCGCAAAATAGAATACAAAAATTACCAAAAAACGTTTTCAAAATTTTGTTTTGGCCGTCCTGTTAAAACTCATTTTTTGAATTGTGGCCCTTTTGCATTGAAGGAGCGATATATTAGCAAACAATAAGTTTCAACTAAAATTTAAAATTGCAGTTATTAAAAGTTCTATTTTGAAAATTTATAGTTTTATTAGGAAGTGATACCGTGGAGTTTGCGATTTAAGTTTGACTCGAGTTCGTTTCTATTTCTTTATTGGACTGTGACGAGACAATACTATTAGTAAACGTTGGCGACTCGGTGCGGCTTCTTACCGAATTTTCAATGATATTTGTGTCTTTGGAAGTAGAGGGGCGCGGGTGTGCATAAGAATCAGGTTTAAAGTTTATGCTTTGTATTATACGTTTACAGGTTTTAGACTTATTTTCGATCGAATCTTCAATATTTCCTTCCGCGACGGTATTTGACTTCCAGCCGCCATGACGTTTTAATGTTGTGAGGTTGGCTCCTGAATCAGCCAAAAGCGTGGCCGAAGTTCGCCTAAAGCAATGTCCAGTGTAAAGGTGAGGCTCTTGTAATTTTAAAAAAGTGGCTATTTGTTGTGGTGTCCCGCCTATTTTATTGATTCCCATAGGCTGTCTTGAACACTTGTCATTACGATACTGCAAGAAAAATCGATCTGTTTTCGTATTATCAGGTCGTAATGCCTTATATTTCTCGACAATTTTCACATATTCGTCACGAATAACAAAGGACCTGTCAATGTTTGTCTTTGTGTTGGGTAGGTTGACTAATAGCAGTTCGTCAGAAAGTTTTTCGATGGCATTAACAGTCAGATTTTACAATTCGTTCGAGCGGCATGCTCCATTTATTCCAATAATGAGGATAACCTGTAATAAAAATATTATATAATTAAAATGTATGACAAACAAAACGTAGTATTTACCCACTTTCTTTACATAAGTAACTCGTATTTTAGTAAATATTAGCGAAAATGGTTAGCGTACGTGCACATATATTACTAATTAAGTATAGACATATAGGTAGTAACTTACTTTTGCAGCGAGAAAATTGCAGTCCGGAGCTTCATTAAGAAATTTTTCAATATTAGAGATTGAAAAAATTTTGTACTTTTTAGATTTGTGTCCTACTGACTTTCTTTTCAAAAATGCAATAAGTTTGGGATAAGTTTCAATATGAACATTATGTTTTGTCTTTATTGTAGCTTTCAACGTCGAATAAATACTCCACATTGAAGGTGTTTGCTTCGTTTGTGATAATTCTATGAAGTACGACAATAATACGAGCTCGATGATCGCGTTGTCAAAAACAATGTTGGCACGCTCGTCGCCTCTGATCACTGTTTTCATATTTATAATATTTATCCACATGTTTCTAGTTTCTATATAGACACAACGTGTTTTAGTTACTTACAAGTGCTAATTACATATGGACTAATAACTTAAATTCAGTAGTGATTTAAATTGAATATTTTGATTATTTACTAAATTTTTTAAATTAAAACTGAACTTTATTGACTGCGTTGACTATCCTTTTCCAATCCTTTTATTATCTTATTGTAATTAATTATCTGCATGCAATTAAAAACTATTTTTTAATAATTCCAAAAAGAAGTATAACTTCTCACGCGCGTACTTAAGTACACGCACCTATATTTTTTTCTTTATTTCAGTGTATTCATTATATTTTATTATTTAATTAGATATTTAATTACAACGTTACCAAATAATTTTCATTTTAAAGGTTTATTAGTTTCCGAACGTTTTATTGTTTGGGTGTTCTGAAATTTGGTAAATCGAACTTTAAATGACGTGTTTCGTACATAATGATAATTCGCAGCATTCTAAATTCAAATCACTTTCCCTCACTCTCGCAGGGAAAACGCGTTTCCCTCACTCTTATTAAGCAGGGAACCCAGTATGTTTGAGCTGCTAAGGTGAAAAGGAACATTGCTATTTAAGGGTTTGGTTTCTATTAGTGAGTGTGATTCCAGGGTTCCACGGGGTAGGAGCTCTGGCCGGCAAGGCCATGATGGCTGGAGCTTCTCATTTTTTTATATTGAGGTGGGATAGATAAATCTAGAATATAAGCAAAGAGTGTACAAGGATAGCATTCCAAACGATTTCAAAATCCATCGTCTCTGAGGGACTGACAGCGCCAACTAATGAAAAGATTTGTGTAGAAGCTCACACTTATTCTCGCGTTCTATTTTTAAGATGCAACTTTCGCAATCGCCAGTCATCGGATGGTCGACCAAAAATTTACTATCTCAAGCTCCTCCGTGACATACAACTGTTGGTCCTGGCAGCATTTGTAATCAAAAGTCGAAAGTCTTTCTCCAATTATAGATAGCCAATTTCATCTAAAACCGTTCCATCGAGACTTTATATGGTTGTTAACAACCGCGAATCTGCTCTGTTTTAAATCAGTCTATTCTGCCTATAATTATGTTCATAGTCATAGTCAATGCTTTTGCCCTAGCAGTGAACACATTAGAAAGTCAATGACGATTATTGCAATTAAAATTCGACAGGTTGGCCACGGTGCTGAATGCCAACCGCATTGTATTCATCGACAAAGGCGAGGTGGTTGAGGAAGGCACACATGAAGAACTACTGAAGCAGAAGGGGCGGTACTATCAGCTCGTGCTGCAAAACGAACCCAGCGTGGGGTCCACCGGTGCCGCTGATTCATCAGCTACCACGCAGCAAGAGAAACGTGAGTGTTACTCGTTTAAGGAAAGGTTACCTGTAACAAGTGGGGTTTGTTTTTTATGTTCATGTTTTTATTAAACAGATGCTCATTTCAAACGGCCGAAACTTCAGAAGTTAGCTTCCGAAGAATCCATGATGAGCACAACGTCCAGTGACGACGCAGTGTCCGAAGACAGCGTGGTGATAGAACCGGACCCGCCCAAGGAGATCAAGCCGACCACGTGGCAGATTCTGAAACTGTGCGAGCCGGAGAAGTACCTGATGGTGGTAGGAGTCTTGGCGGCCATAGCCGTGGGCTCCTCCTTTCCTATGTTCGCTGTATTGTTCGGTGAAACGTATGGTGTAAGTTTTAGAAATAGTCATTTATGAATTCCTTAATTTGATATTATTTATGTTTCATATAAATGGGCATTTTACACATGCTTACACAAATCTGTAGAAATAATTAGACATAGAATTTCTAATGGACATATTATCAAATGTTTCATGATATATCTTGTCATTTTAAGATTTGAATTTAATTCAGGCATGGAATGTTTGGATTTGTGAGTTCATTGTTTTACATTCTACTTGACTACATTTTGTTATTTCCAGCTATTAGAAAGCCCTGATGAGGACTGGGTGCGAGGAGAGACGAACATGATAGCTGTCTACTTTCTTCTCGTGGGCCTGCTTACTGGACTGGGGATCTTCTTCCAAATCTACATCTTCAATCTCACGGGAGTTCGGTTGACGGCAAGACTAAGGTAATTATTGTGATCGACTTATATACATAATGATATCTTATTTACTTTTAAAGATGTTGATCAAAATGTACAATGAATTTCAATACGTACAAAAATGACAAACAAAAAATCGACTAACACTTATTTCGCTGACACACTATCAAGAAGTGCAAGTCCCTGCCTGCACCCATATTACCTCTTAAACTAATTTGAAAGCACACGCAGCATGCAAAGATCTACAACACCACCGACGTTTGGATTTCTGTTAACTCTGCTAACTAAAACCTGAAAACCTATATTTGCATTACACAATAATATGGTGGATGTGAAGTTAACAGCGAGAACAACTATGCGCAGGTTTCACTTCAGTGATCCCGCATGCACCTACATCACTCTGCATTTCGTTTACTGCGTCACAACTTGCGATAACTTCAAAACCGACAATAAGTTTGAATTTTACCATACCTATGATAGAAAGGAGATTGCTCAAATTGGCCTAAATACACAAAAAATATTGACATACAAGGTAATTCTTGGCGTAATTTATAATTTAATTTACAGTCATTAGATTTCAGCGGACACCTTTGTATAATATATTTACTTTAAAAAGGACTTTTAATTTTACCGGTTTGGAAAACATACGAATCATTTTTAATGGCTATGGGTGTAGTAACATTCAGCCAAAGACTTATCGAAGTTGTTTATATAACATAAAAACAAATCTATTTTGTAAAGATCGATAAAATAAATCATTTTTTTTATTACACTGTGGTATTAATATCCACAACTATATTATCATTTTCACTAGATGCAAATGTGCTCAGACAATTATTATAGACATCATAGGTAGGCGACATCATAAAGTCTATTGCCATACATTTTTCGCCAAACACCTCCATAAACACATTATAATCTGTATATATGTTAGACTTTAAGGTATCTATCTATGGGCCTACGTTCCCTGACTATAAATTAATAAATAAATAAAATTATAAGGTGTGATACACTAAAAATCTAAAATATGGTTATCTTAAAAACTTAACAAAAATAATGAAGCTACTGAATATATGGCTATAGAACCTAAATCTCTTCTAGCTTTCTTTGGTTAACGAGAGTTTAAAAATTCACTCTAATCTGTGACTCATTCACAATCATCACACAGTTTCTGTCACAGAGTACCTCATTATAACCGGAAATGACACCTGATTTTAAAAGTTACTCTTATGCATTAACTTTAAAAACAGGCAACTATCTGTTAATCTACATGCTCTATATACCTGAATCTAATCCATAATTTCAGTACTTGGCTTGATTTCCCTAGTTTACTATATAACTTATTTGTTTTTTATTATTTTAATATGTTCAGTGTATATGGTTTATAGAAGTTTTCAGGTGTCCGCCAATAATATTCGTTTCTACAGTAATCTTTATATATATAATTCTTCAGTGAGTGTGTATGTCACTGAACTTCTCGATTTTGATGAAATTTTTTGTGTGTGTTCAAGGGGAACGACCGGACCGATTTTGATGAAATTTTTTGTGTGTGTTCAACGGGATCTGAGAATGGTTTAGATTCATAATTTTGTCCGCTGGACAATGTTTTTTTAATTAATTTTTAATTTATTAGTAGTTGTTAATTTTGGAATGTTTTACATTGGATCCGACAGACGGCGCTACCATCGCAGTGTCGAATCTTTATATATATAATTCTTCTGTGAGTGTATATGTCACTGAACTTCTCTTAAACGACTGGACCGATTTTGATGAAAGGAGGACGGGCATTTTGGTATCCAATTGGTGTTTGGAATCAATAGCGATGAGTGATATATCATTGAATACCTCTTTTCATGTAGAATATTAGTTACTATGGCGGCATTCTGATATTTGTTGTCCGTTTTTATTTTTTCCAGAAAATACTAGAACCATTTTTGCCGGAACCGTTATTACCATTATTTATTATTACAGAACCAAAAAGGGAAATCGAGTCACCGAATGAAGTACAGAGTGGAATGCGGGATTCCATCCCCTCTCCCTTCCGTATTTAGGCAGGTAGACAGAAGGTGCGGGCGCATTAGTCGATCGTGAGACTATGTTCGTTCCTTCTTTTATCTTTCATCGTTATTTTTACCTATTTTTATCGTTGACTCCGGCTTTCTTATGGACTTGTGTTAACCCGTTTTTATCGTTGACCCCGTTGACCCGCGGCTAGAAAGAAAGCGGTTGAACCATCGAAAGGCAGACTTCATACGACTTGAAGCAATGCAAGTGGAGAACTTCCTCCAACTGACTCAAGAAGAACTCATTGTGCTTGCTTTAGGCACATATCAACTCAAACTAGCCAGATCTTACTAGCGAGCATTTAAATAATGGCCTATACACGATAGAAACATATAGAGAAAATGCATTGGAAGACTTGCCTGAATACGGCATAGATCAAAATGGTTGTTTGTTACGAGGACGAATCCGGTCTCGTCATGTTCGAACAAGGACCTATTACTGCTACGTATTATTCAGTAATAACGAATTAGCTGAGAATAATAATTATAATAATATAATTCAACATTATTGTAATGTCTAACTGGTAGACGTACCATAAGAACTTGTGCTCACATATTATCAATTATATACCTAGGCTATGCCAGGCACGCCGGATTCGTCGCTCCTGCACTGTTCCTAAATGACATTCTTATTATAGATAATGTATAAAGTAATTACTCTTTCACTCTGCCTCTGGATAACTGCATACATAAAAAATTAAATGAATAAAAACATAATGTATCAACAAAGATTAATATTTAAAATCTGTTTTTGTTATTTTTATTATTGTTAAAAAAGTTTTTTTAATTAAGTGTTACCGTCATTAGCGTATCTGAAGAGTCGTCTGAAGTTAGTGATTAGTATTATAGAATTTCGAATTGGTAGTCCAACATCCTGGGGTGGGCACGGCCCACTCGCCCCCCCTCTATATACGCCTATGGTTACCGTTGAAGATAACAAGCTAGTTATTGTTTTTTTTAATTATGTTTTTTACCATTTTCTTTTATTAACGTTCTCGTTAAAGATAAACATTAAATAGTTCACACGAGGTTGTATTGTTACTAAGTCGGAAGGCACTGGTATCTGCAATACAGTTTTTTTTAAACTATTGCAGATATCAACGCTCTAACCTAATGCCTATTGTTAATACTTACAACTCTGCTAAAATAATGTAAATACCAAAATGTATAACAATTTAAAAAGAAAAAACTTTTTTAAAATTATTTATTATATAACTCTGTTTCGACAACGTATCAGGGCAGGCGCCAAAGTAGACATTATTATATTCAAGTAGACCTTTCAAATGATATGTAACACATCTCTATTGGAACGGATACCAAGTTCCATACATTTTTGCCCATCATCCTTTTTTGTGTGTGTTCAAGGGGATCTGAGAATGGTAATTTTCATCAAAATGGTCCAGAATGTTTTAGCTTATTAAACAAAGTTTGAAATTTTCAAATTAAAAACGTGTAGACAGGACAACGTCTGTCGGGTCCGCTAGTTTATATATAATTTCGAATCTAGGAAACAATTTTTCATGATTATTGGTCTTTAGGCCAAACATGTATGGCCTTACAATCTCCTTTAGATGTATGTAGGTTACTGGCGGCCGCCCGAGACTTCGCCTGCGTTTACTTAGTTTGTTGTTATTTTTTTCCACATTTATAATATAAGTAGATATCATATAGGTTATATCATTTATGCCATGTATAGGGATGGCCTTTTCCTCAGCAGATGGGTCACTGTTTATGATAGATTATATCATTTGCAGAGTGGCAGCTTTCAGTGCAATGCTGAAACAGGAAATCGGCTGGTTCGACGACGCGAAGAACGGCGTGGGAGCGCTGTGCTCGCGGCTCGCGGCGGATGCGGCCGGCGTGCAAGGTGTAAGGCATCGTTTATCGATCGACAGTAGACAGAATTATAATATCTACTATAATTCTTAGTGTAACTTAAGTTATAATCAAATAATTGCGGAAAATGTTTTAAGAAATTAACTTAACAGTCTTATCTAAAATCAGTAGGCATTGTGTTTCCAGTAAAGTGTTTCTATTAAAGTCGAGATGCTTAATGTACATTTGTAGTATATTTTAATGTAATATTTATAAATTCAATTCTTTTATCTTTTGCTAATTAGATAACGTCGTTAATCACAAAATTCATAACACCCAATTTCACATTCTGCAATACTCGACTCCACTTATTTTATTTATTTCAGGTGTATCTTTAAAGAGCTTACCAACTCTTTATTATAGATATTTCCAATTACAAACTCCCAATACCTTTCTTAACTTCACTTCGCATTTATCACTTTTATTATCCATTATTTTATAGTAATTTTATTGTTAAACTAATTTCCATAACCTCTTCCTGAATAGGCTACAGGCACCAGAATTGGCGCGCTCATGCAAGCCGCCGCCACCATAGTGATCGGCATCACGCTCTCCTTGTTCTACACGTGGAAGATGACACTGGTGTCGCTAGTATCGGTGCCCATGGTGATCATAGCTGTCATACTGGAGGGAAGAATCATCGCTGAAGGAATCGCTGCGGTCCGAGCAGCTTCGGATCGAGCGAACACCATTGCCACTGAAGCAATCACCAACATTAGAACCGTGTCTGCTTTCTGTGAGTATGTATTTTTTATCGGTCTGATGAGCTTAATCTTTATGGACCAAAAATCGCAATGAGCCTGTCTACTAATTTGTCCTAAAACATAATTATTCACGGTGCTCTCTGTAAGTTTATCGTCGCGTATTGCAACGCACACCACGAGAACGCAACGGATCGTTTTTCTTCAATGGATGGAACAAGAATACTGTACGTTTTGACGATTAACTCACCAGTTGAAACGTGGTTGATAATATCTCACTGTAAAAGTTGACTCATAGAGTTTCTATCGAATTCAGTGGCAGGACAAGTCTATCGTCTTGGATCGTGGAAGTTAAACAACTTTTACAATGACCGGTTATCGGATGGGGGAGCAGAAATGTATTACCTGGAGCTCTTCCGAACATCAGATACCACGTTTAGTCGTGTCGGTCCCTGCTGCATCTGCAATCATCACCCTCTAGGACCCATTGGAAGCTCTCTATACCATATGAGGCTGACGAATTGTAGTATGTTGAGTTTCACCTCAACATAAGAATTTGCATAAGTGACTGCGACATATTTACTTTATAGCAACGTTGCATTATTGATCAGACGGCAATAATAGAAAGGTTTCGCAATAGCAATTAATAATAAATATAATAGTACATTATTTAAGTTAGACTTAAGAACACCTATGTAAGAAATGGACAAATAAAAATCCTACAAGAAGATCACCTTTGATTTAACATCCCTCTAAGAAGCATGGTATTATAGAATCGTTAATGGAGGGCCACCAATGGGCCCTAGTAGCTGATAATGACTGCAGATGCAGCAGGAACCGACGAGTTGTGCTTCACAATGATGATATATGCATTTTTAGGTGGCGAGCAAGGCGTGCTGGACAGATACAAGAAGGCGAGTGCTAACGCGAAGGCGAGCGCGCGCGGCAGTTTACGCTGGCGGGGCTGCGTATTTTCGTTCGGGCAGACGGCGCCCGTCGCGGGGTACGCACTCTCGCTGTGGTACGGCGGCGTGTTAGTGGCTGACAGGGAGGTGCCCTACAAGAACGTCATCAAGTGAGTATTCATCTCTCTCTAACAGTGTCTCTGTTCTCGCTCGGTACTAGTGGCTGACGGAGGTGCCATACAAGAACGTCATCAAGTAAGGCCTCGGCGATATCCGAATAATCTTATTTGATCACTCCTCTTTCAAAACAACCAGAATATCTTAGTTCTTTTTTGGAGCCTTCGTGTTTATGTAATACTAGCGGCCGCCCGTTTACAATACCATGATAAGCATATTTTGTGTTTACGGCCACTATTCTGATCCAAATAAATTATTTCGTTCTTTTCTTTTCACCCGTCCTATAAAACTTTGCATTTCATTATTACCAATATTTTGCTTAACCTTTAAATACTGAGAGTAATTAAACGAACATCATTATCAGGGTGTCGGAGGCGTTGGTATTCGGCGCGTGGATGATGGGCCAGGCGCTCGCGTTCGCGCCAAACTTCGGCGCCGCCATCAGTGCCGCCGGCCGCATCATGGGGCAGCTGGCGCGCACGCCGGCCGTCACCAGCACCGCCGCGCCCGCCGTCAACGAGGACTATGTGAGTACTATACGCCGCCCTGCACCAGCACCTCCGCGCTCGCCGTCAGCGAGGACTATGTGATTACTATAAGCCGCCGAACGAAAGAAGGAACATTGCATTACATTTGTTATGTATAACACTATTCATCAGACGGATGCGAAGTAATCGCCCTTGGCAAGACGTCAAAGGATCACTTTCTTTTCCAAACAGAGACAGATAACTTCCAGTAAGTAAGTCTGACAAAACAACCTTGCCAACCCTGGAGTAGGAGACATGATACTTCACCGCCTTTCTCCTCCACTATCTAAGGGATGCCCTTAACTATGCTGTCTTTAAATTAGCCATATTTAAAGACAGTATGGTTAAGGGCATCCCTTCATCCGGCGAATGTTGTATTACTTTTGCTAATCACTAACTGCACCTTTGATTCTCTGGCAAGCTCCCGCAAGAGATTTATCACGTAAAAATATGTATTTATGTGTCATAAACAGCGAGAGTTCCAGAATCATTTATCACACTTGCTACCCTTTTACTTATACCATAATCTTCCTTACCAGGTGGCGATGGGCAAGATTAACTACAAGAACGTGGTGTTCCGCTACCCCACCCGGCGTGAAGTGGAAGTGTTGCGTGGCTTGTCACTGGCGATTCCTAGCGGCAAGCGCGTAGCGCTCGTGGGGCCCAGTGGATGCGGCAAGTCTACGCTCATACAGTTGTTACAGCGGTTGTATGATCCGGATGAGGGTAGCGTGGTGAGTTTATGACGGTTTATGTTCAGTGTAAGTGGAGTTCAGTCACGAGGTTAGCTGATGAGGCAAATCAACGCTCATACAACTACTACAATGGCGTCATTATAGGATTATGACGTATTTTTTCCTTATTTTGATGTCAAAATGCAGTCTAGTCGCAAACGGGTCGCGCTCGTAAAGTCCAGAGGATGCAGCAAGGCTACGCTCATACAGCTGTAGTGGCTGTATGACCCGAATTATGGCAGCGTGGTGAGCGTCTGAAGAACTCATAAAGAACTTGAGAGAAAAGAGAGAAAAAAGCAGCCATTGCTGGAGTTTCTTGCCGGTTCTTCTCAGTACAAGGTCTCCTGCCGTAGATTTGCGAACTTATGACGTAACTTTTCGACCTTCACAAGAGCAAGTAACAGCCTAGACTGAATAAATGAATTTTGATTATTAATTGACTGTTCCCTAACCAACAACTGATGCAACAAAAAGGCATTTCCACATTTTCAGCAGAAATTAAAATACTTTTTTTAAAAGAAATCCCGTTTGCGTCTATGAATCAAAAATGCGTTTGCCCAATGAATTTGCGGCAGCAATTCCGAATTTTGCAACGTGCCACTGTGGTAACTACTGTAATTTTCTTAAAAACCCTCTTTGGCGCCCAAACGTGCTGCACCATTTCTAAATTCTATTAATTGGCACCCAACGTCGTGCATCAGTGCTTCTGGCCGTTCTTTTGGCCAAACTTAAACGCCGAGCACCTTAAGATTGTGTGTTTACACAATCTTAAGGTGCTCGGCGTTTAAAGATGATAGTTTATCATACTGTGAAAATTTTGTATTTAAGTAGGAATTAGTACTTTCAATAATTACCTTGATTAGCTAATATCCGAGATTACAATGGAGAGTTCCATTGAGTGAAGCTGAACAATGACTTTTGCCATCTCGAGCTTCGCCGTCCTACTGCGCTGTGTGGGCGTCATGGGTTCTGCCTACCGGATAGGTGTGAACTCGATAAATCTACCGCGACTTCGTCTGCGTGGTTAAGTTGGTTTTTTATACCAACTTCCACTTCTTTTTTCATTTCCTTTAATTATGTGTATGTAATTGTGAGATCCTATGATCTTGCCCGGGTCCGGAACTCAAACTAATTCGATTCAGCTGTTTAGGTGTAAAAAGGTAACAGAATGACATTGTTTCGCACTTATAATATTAGTATTGATATATTCTACAGTACATGGACGATTACAACATCGCTTCGGATATGCGTCTAACGACTCTGCGGCGGAACCTCGGCATCGTATCGCAGGAGCCAGTTCTATTCGACCGCTCCATCGCGGAGAACATAGCATATGGCGACAACACGCGCACCGTTACCATTGAAGAGATCGTCAGTGCAGCAAAAGCGGCTAATGTGCATTCGTTCATCGCTGCACTGCCGTCTGTGAGTATGAGTTTGTAAGTCCGTCCGTCGTTCTTTTTTAAAGTGATCACTTTTTATGGCAGTATAAACCACTTCGTTACGTAACGCGTTACGGCGCTAGTCTGTCTGGCTTCCCTTCCTCTCACACATACGGCAGCGGTAGGCAGGATCCTCCTCGCTTACTGTAACCCGCAACGCCTTTAGATTATATAGTTTAAGTTCTGTCATGCGTCCCAAGACACATATGCTTTTTTTTTGCCTTCGAAGGCAGACAAGCGTACGAGCCACCAGATGTTATGTGGTCATCATTGCCCATGGACATCAGCAATGCCAGTGACACAGCCATGCCGCTGCCTTTCGTGGAACACTATTTAACCCCTTTTTTTTGAGTATGTATGCTGAAGGTCGCAGATACCTTTACTGCGTCACCGGGTTCGAGGACGGCAAGATCCTAAGGGGACCTCAAACCGAGAATTGGCGAGTGCCTCTAGAGGTATTCCAGGCGGATGGCATCTCCCTACAGGGGGAGTCTGCTATCCGTCTGGAGCCTCTAGACCACTCGAACCTGAGGGGATCGGCTCAACTAGAGGGCGTCTCTGAGACTCGGACCTCGGCTCTAGTTAGCCTTTGTCGTGGGTGGTAATTATTTAACCCTGACTTTCAGCGGACCATTTACAGTACGGAGGGAACACACTGTGGAGGGAAGCTCATTCCATAATTTTCTAGTAGTAGTATGTTTTACGTTATTTTTGGCAGTCATTCTTTTGGCCCGTTCGCGAAAAGTTTTAGGAACTAAATTTTAGAATACCTATGATAATATGTTTACTGATAAAAAAAAATATATCTATTAAACTACTACATAGATATGTGCTGAATGTTCCATGTCCAGGGGGAGTTTGGGTGATAATCTTCCAGCAAATTTTCTGGTCTGGCAATTTCAAATTGATTATTCTCTACAACATAGGTAAGCATAAGTCCTCAGACTGTAAGTAAAGTGAGTAAAATATTTACGTACTTGTCCCTCCTTATACCTGAAAATTAGCCTACAACACAAGTTAGCGAGCATATCGATGTATACGTTCATTGTACACACTAATACTTCTCGAACAATCATATTATTTTGTCCATCAGAAAATAAGCGAAGTCTGGCGGCCTTGGGATCTTACTCTAGAAAGCCTGTGCCCCAGCAATGGAGATATTAAGACGGGAGGTGCGCAATGCTTTTTCCATACAAACGTTCTCGACTCGATTCCTCCTTGATTTTTATCACTAAAGAATTGATTTTCATACATAAAATATAATTCATTCAATGCTCCTATGGGACACAAGGGGGCCCACACAACATATTTAGGGTCCCAAGCCAACCTCCCCTGCAAGCGGTGCGTCCTAATGTATAACAGTGCTGTGTTTTGGGGACCGAGTCGCCCTCGTCCGTGGGTGTAAACCCCGAATTATTTTTTTTCCTGTTACCCCAGACGTGGTCCCTGGGTGGTGCAAATCAGGCGACAACCCACTGGTGGTAGGCAATTGCCGAGGCTAGTGACCACCCACCGGGCTAAGTCGCGCCGCCAAGCAGCCTAGCTGTGTTCCGGTGCGTAGTCCGGTGACGCCGTTTGGGAAGATCGGGTCGGAATGGTCGCTCCAGTACTGCAGTGCCGTTTTTTAAGACGTACGCATCATTGTTGCATCGGGTAACTAGTCTCGGAGGGTAGCGGGATCCGAGGCACGGTGCACCGCTGGCCGACCGCAGTTAGTAGGGGGCCCAAGTAATGGGTTAGCCACTCATGAAAGGCTGCCCCGCCAACTCGCTAAAAATCCCGGGATGCGCCATCGTGCCGGTTGGCGACCGGACGAAAGGGCCCGATGGACACTCCCGGGGGGGCTCGAGCGTCCCCGATGTCTCCGAACAAGCTCCCCATAAGATGCACAGTGTATGTGAGTGTCTACTGGTAGCGGTACTGAAGCCAAATCGTACATTCTACTTCCGTTTTCCCACCGAACAAATACTCACGATATGAAAAAAGGAAATAGAAAAAAGGTCCAACAGCGGCAGCACGCCCTTTCGCTCAAAGTGCACCTCACCAACATTAGAGGACTGCACTCAAATCTCGAGCCAGTCCACCACCATCTAGAGACTCAAAAACCTGCACTCTTTTTCCTTACGGAGACGCAGATAGGATGCCCGTCAGACCAGGCGTACCTTATGTACCCTGGGTACAATATTGAGCACAACTTTAAGACCCGTAGTGGAGTGTGCTTATACGCCCGGGACGATATCTGCTATCGGCGTCTTCGTAATCTTGAAGACCCCCGATTCTCGGCTCTGTGGATACTATTGGACACAGGCATGGAGAAGATTCTGTATGCCTGTGTCTACCGGTCGCACACCGGAGACTTGGAGACAACAAGGCTCACTGAATACCTCGGTGAAGCGGCGGATTCAGCTCAACAAAGGTACCCTACAGCCCAATTAGTGTTCCTGGGGGATTTTAATGCACACCATCAGGAGTGGCTATTCCCATACCGGGTCACTGACCATATATATTCCTTATTGCACATAAAAATTGTAAGATACAAAACATAAATATGTGAGCAAAGGAGGGCTTATCTCTAAGAGAGATCTCTTCCAGCCAACCAAGGTTTAGTGAGAGAAAAAAGTAAGGGGGTGTAGAGATGTGCACTAAGTACTTACTTGCAGATTATATACCTATCTAAGACTACATACATAAATATATATTCATATGTATATACACAAATACTTACAATAAATACATACATACACACATATATATACATATACATACATACACTATAAAATAATAAATACACATTACATGAAATTATGTTAAGATAAAACAAAGAGTGGAATAAATAGACAACTAAGAGTGGGAATTTATTTCCAGAAAGTGCTCTTTGACCTTTGCTTTAAAAGAGACAATAGAAGGACAGTCTTGAATATTAGAGGGAAGTCTGTTCCAGAGTAAAGCAGCACGAACAGAAAAGGAATGGAAAAAGAAGTTGGTATTACTTTTTGGTAGTTCAAGTGTCTTCGTGTTGCAAGACCTTTTAGGACGAGTAGGAGGAGGAAGCGTTTTGAAACGGGAAACAAGGTAATGAGGAGAACTTGGATCTTTGAGGATTTTAAACAAGAATGATAGGATATGCATATCACGTCGAAGACGAATGGGAAGCCATTTCAATTGAGAGCGAAAAGCAGAAACTCGGTCATATTTACGCAATCCGAATATGAAACGAATTGCAAGATTTTGGAGACGCTCTAGCTTATTCAATTGATCATCAGTTACATCCAAGTAGCAAATATCGGAGTAGTCGAGAATGGGGAGAAGGAGTGATTGCGCCAGCATAATTTTGGTTTTGAAGGGAAGAAAAAATTGAAGCCGCTTGAGGGAGTGAAATGAGTAATGAATACGTTTACTGACTTCACTAATATGTGGGGACCATGACATTGTGCTATCCATAATTAAGCCCAGGTTTTTCACTTTATCGGTGTAAGGTATAGGCACGTCGTTATATTTAATGGGAGGTATCAAGTTCCAGTCTAATTTGTATCTAATCCTGCTACTACCGACAATCATGACTTGACATTTATTCGGGTTAACTAAGAGACAATACGAAGCAGTCCAGTTTTGAATGGATGTTAGATTCCTATTTAAAAAAGTAATGGCATCAGTGGTTTCAGCTAAGGCAAAATCTTTATAAATTTGCAGGTCATCAGCGTAAAGGTGAAAAGGGCAAGAGAGGACACGAGAAATATTGTTAGTAAATAACGATAATAATAAAGGTGAGAGGACACCTCCTTGAGGCACACCAGCTGATACATTCGACCAATCAGAGAATTCGTCATTTAATTGGACACGCTGGAATCGATTGAAAAGATATGAATGGAACCATCCAATCACAGAGGAGCAAACGCCAAAGTAACTTAAAGTAGAGAGTAAAAGGTCGAAGTCGACACAGTCAAATGCGCTACTCAGATCTAATAATACGATAGCTGTTAGTTTGGTGTTGTCCATAGCAGAGCGAATGTCCTCAGTTATGTTGAGCAGTGCACCAACTGTGCCGTGAGATGGGCGAAAACCGGATTGGTAAGGACATAATAAGGAATTAGATACGAGAAAGGAATACAACTGTTTGTGGACTACAGATTCTAAAACCTTAGAGAGTAAGGGAAGAATAGAAATAGGCCGAAACTGGGAGAGTGAAGATGGATTGGGAGTTTTTGGAATGGGAATGACATGAGCTTTCTTCCATGATGCCGGAAAGACATTGTTTTCCAACGAAAAATTAATTATGTGTGTGATTATGGGAACAATGTACTCCAGCACTGGAAGAAGCATGTCTAGACTAAGACCATCACCACCAATGGCTTTGGTGGAGATAGATTTAATACTTTTTGCCACGTCCTCCTCTGAAACTGAGTTGAAAGAAAACGAGGGATGATTATTACTTTGAGGTTGATTAAGACTAGATAATAGGGAGAGGGTATTAGACTTAGAAAGATTATCTAGAGTCAAAGGTGGTGAAGAAAAGTGTTTGTTCAGGGAATTGAGATTTATGATATTCTGACTTGTATCCGTTGGCTTACCTACTCCCAATGATCTTAAGAAACTCCAGATCTGCCTCTTTTCCGAACCCTTAATTTGATCATGAATATACTTGCGCTTAGCATCCCTGCACATCCTATTGCAAAGATTGCGCAACTTCTTGTAAGCTTGCAAGTTCTCAATGGTCGGTGAAAGTTTTTGACGGCTTTTAGCCTTGTCACGCTTTGCCATAACTCTACGAATGGCTGGAGTCAACCAAGGGGCGGGAATGTGTTTAAGGCGAACTGGTCGCACTGGAGCATGAATATCGTACATTTTCGTCAGAGTACTAGTAAAATATTCCACCATCGCATCTATATTGTGAGCAAGTAGAACCGGAGACCAATCTATACCTCTCATATCAACCCTCAAGCGTTCAAGATCCATTTGCTTAAAATTGCGCAGAAAACGAACTCT